TATATACCTAGTACAAGTATTGTAGGTTAACTAACTAATTACAAATTTTGAAAACATGCACTCTAAAGTATTAATGTTAAGGTTTAATTCCAGACGTTATGTTGTCAGAATCGACTGTGGTTTTGTATTTTGCTAAACAAAAGGTATTTGTAATTATAAACCAAAAGTAAATTAAGTAATTATGTAAAATTAGAATATAATTTAGGTTTGTGTATACAAATACCTAAATTCAAGGTTCAAGAGGGGAATGGAGTTTATACAAAATATTCAAAGTGAATACTTCAAACTAAAATGATTTTATCTAAGCACATCTTTTTGCCCGCTCAAGGAAATTACTGAACTTCCGTTGTTTTTAACAAGATTTTTCATAATGACATTTCTAAAATAAGTTGCAAAATAACCTGAGTTTAAAAAGAAAATAAAAAATAACAAGGTGTTTTTTTTAATGATTGAATTATTTACATGCTAGCAATCAGGTCACTAGTCCTCATTTCTAAGAATTCTTCACTCATCCAAGCGTGTAAGATTAAGACCAGTCAAACATCTGGTTTTTGGTCTAATACATTTCTTCTGTAGCTCACAAATACGTAACAAGATCCAAGGAGGATAAACACACACGAAGATAAAAACCAGTACACTACAACATACGGTATTTTAACATTTCTTAAGAGAAGGTCGTGTTTCAGATTCAAATATAAAAACCATGACCAAAACGTTGGTGGTTTATAAAATTGTTCCGGTAAGTATTTTCTTCATATTTTGGGAAGGATAATATATATGAGTATGTATAAAATTCTAGTGTCACAGTGTTTGTAACAAAACTCCTCCGAAACAGTTTGACCGATTCTTATAAAATTGTGTGTATATTTAAAAAGTCTGAGATTAAGTACGTGAACTGTTTTTATATCTTTCAGTGTTAAGAGTGAATATTGATATAGATGGGTTTCAAATTCAAATTCAAAAATCATTTATTCATGTAGGACATTTTAGCCGCTTATGAACGTCAAGTTTTTACATTATAATTTTATTTTCGTACCGTCCAGTTCGGTATATATATCCAATTGAGAAGAACAGGCGAGAAACTCAATTGAATTGCTTTTTTTTTTAAAAGTCAGTTTATTTACAATGTATTGGTATTTATGTAGGTGTCTATGTCTAACATTAAATGACAATTCCGAGCATGGACAACTATTGTTATGCACGCTCGTCATTTAAGTAATCGTTTAGTGAGTAATAGACTTTGCTTAATGCCAGGATTGACACATTCAAAAGCCCTAATACGATTGGAGGCGAGTGCAGATGGCACTCCAACCCCGCGGAAGGAAGTGGAACGACTGAATGCCAACTCCTGCCTGACGCATACTACTTTAGTCTGAGGGTACCGCTAAGGGTTCGAACCTTGGCTCAGGCTGTCGTAATTTCGATCCCCCTTTAAATTAGACGGGGATCGATCGGAGAGAAAGAACTTCGCGTGTGCCCAACAATAATGTTAGTTTTTCGTCTTGTAATGTCAGGGAACTGATGGTAATCTAAAAACATATAGGGATTACCTACATTTTTAAAATATAGAAATAATAATAAAAATATGGTTAACTGACACCGTGGTTTAGCGGTATAGTACATATGTATTCATGACTATGATTGTTTGTATTGGTCTGGGTGTATTCTAAAATGTTGTACATTATGTTATGTTGTATATTATGTATGTATTTATAAAAAAAAATGTATCTAAGTATTATTATTATCTAAGTATTTCTAATGTATTATATCAGATCTCTAATACCAATAACACAAGCTCTGCTTACCATGGAACAAGATAGTGTTATATAAATTAATCAGGAATATTATTATAATATTTTATTTATACATCCAGGTTTCAATAATATACTGCATTAGGCAAAATAAAAATTATGTGAAATCGACATCTAAAGTTAAAACGTCAAAGTCTATTATGCAAAAGTTTTTTTTCAAGTTACTACATTTTGTTAATAAGCATGCGACAACATATCATAATTATCTGTACATAGGTAATTATCGTCAATATTTTCTTAATAAAATAAACTAAATTGCGTTCAAAGATTACACTACTAGGGAGTAATTTGCGTCGTGTTCAGATTGGGGTAATTCAGGTGTGGCAAACCTTTTCAACTGACTTAATTGGTCGACTATTTCTATCGAACAACATTTATATATAGAATTCTATTAATACACATTCAATACATTATAACTAGATTTAGATATACATTGAGAAAATTGAAGTACTAAAAATAAATGTATTTCGTTAATAATAAAGCATATTCGTTATTAAAAACCATCAGACTTCTTTGTTAAAAATTAGTTAAATTTCATAACTTTACTTTAGGCCATAAAAAATATAAAAGTAATTTAAGATCCTTGCTAGTTCTTCTCAATTGGATCTATATACCGAACTGGACGTTACAGAAAAAATTAATATTATAGTGTAAAAAATTTGACGTTCATAAACAGCTAAAATGTTATATATGAATAAATGATTTTTGAATTTGAATTTGAATTTGAAATATGTGATATAGAAATACGTATATACATGGACATGGAATGAATATCATATATATACATGAGAACATGGACAGTGTGAAAGATGAATGAATATAAAGATATGTATGACTGTGAAGAGGGAGGAATGGAAAGAAAAACATATTACGTCGATCAAATAAATGGTATAAGGAAGAGTCATATTGATAACAGAAATACATATACACTTATTTATGTGTTACATATTTAGGCTACCTACCTACACCTTGCTTTTTAATCTAATATAATGTGAATTGTTAATGAAATTACAGGGTATGAAGTAGTGAACATTACATCCTTTTTTTAACTATTCTAATGTTGTTTGGCGAGTGCAGATGGTAATTCTAACGGGAGGACTTATGGAGCAGCTAAAGTCCAGTTTGCCTGATGGATACTTTAGTTTGAGGGCACAGCTAGGGGTCCCAACCTCAATTAAGGTGGGGGGAGGGGATTGTTAGTAATGGGAACTAGTAACTCCCATTGCTAGCAATGTAAATGGTAACCCCCCCCCCGACCAACTCCGTGGTTCCCCCTGGAAACCATCGTGATAAATTCTTGGTGAGTTTACAACAAGTGGAGGATGATAAGAACATCATGTTCATCTTATCATGACACCGAAAGCGCAGGCGGGTGCATCATTCCATTATCATCCATGAAAAAATCTCAATTCAGGCCGTTGAGGTTTCGATCTCCATTTGAATTGGACCAAGGTTCGATTGAAGGCCGTAGTGTTGTTCATGTACATAGGTGACGGTTGCTTACTACTTAACAAGTAACAGTTATACTAACTATTCAATTCTGTATTTTATAGGCCTTACTTGTTAATTGCCTAATGTTAGTATAACTGTTTCAGATAACAAATTAATTAAACCTAGTGGTCGCCCAGTTGATTAAATTTGACCAAAAATAATTAAAATTATAATTTTCAATATTCTGAAGATTATATGTCAATGACTTCTATGCGTATGTTAGTTTGTGTATTTTTAATTTCATGTATTTTTTACGCATAATTAAAAAAAATAATGGCATAAAATAAAATAAATTAATAACTTAGTTCTTTTGCCATTCCAATTACATGAAATAAAACCTACAATGTTCGTATTTAAAAATATAGTAAATTTTATTGTATTATGTAATATAAATTAATTACAACTCTTTTTAGAGAAATAACATAGGCTTTTATATTGTTTTCATTTTTATCAGTAGCCTGTACAACCAGTCCATAAGTATTATATTTTTTTTATATTCTGTTTAGACTATAAAACCTAGCCTGTCAGTCTTTATAAAATCTATTTAATAAGCTTGGGACTTAACATACTGTACGTTAAGTTCGAACTTCGAAGCTTTATTTCTTTCATAACTCGCTTTCATCTAAAACTAAAAAAGAATATGTAATTTAATTTTCTCCTAACAACATGTTTATACGTATAAAATTAATAACGGTACCTAATTATTTTTTTTCTGTAAATGTAGGAAACCAACTATAGTTGTTATCTTCTTTGTGTATCTATCGCCATACACATACATATATTATACATGGTGTACCCATATTATATATATAAACCTTTCTTTTGAATCACTTTATCTATTAAAGAAAAAACCGCGTCAAAATCCGTTGCTATGTATGCTTAAATCTTTAAAACTATTTAAAGATTTAAGCATACATAGGGACGGATAGACAGCGACAGCGACTTTGTTTTATACTATGTAGTTCAAAATATCTTTATTCATGTAGGTCTATTACAGACTCTTATGATATGTTAATCTACCGTCAGTTCGGAATGATTTCGAGATGAGAAGAACTGACAAGAATCTCAGCTCGTATTTTTTTTTTCAATAAATGATGTACATATTTACAATAATGAAGTAATGAAGAATTCGTACTATATATTAATAGATAGAAATTTGTATTATTTATTAGCTTTGAAGAATATAATATAATTCAGGTGGAGAATTATTGAGAGGTTTATTTTTGAAATAAAAAATAACAATAAAAAATAATAAAAAATAAATTAGTCGCTGCTTCATGGCCTAAATAAATAGTTGGAAGTTACATAAACAAAAATCGGATATTAATATAATATGTTCTGTTCCCCTGTAAAAATAGAGATTCTAGAATTTTGTGACGTCATAACATTAAAATTAACCTAGTAATTCAAATGATAATGATATTCAAATAATATGAATATTTATGAGGACGATGGATACAATTAAAATAGAAAAGATTTATAAAAATAAATGTAGATAATTTTTTAAAATTCTAAAAATATTATTTCATTTAGATACTGTAGCATAGCTATAAACACGAATCGCTACATCGAGAAAAACTATTAACAAATTAGTATGTAATATTCGCTTAAACCTTGTTATAAAATTATTGCTATATAATATTTTAAAATTTAAAAGTAACAGTAAGTAATAAGTTTAAATTATTAAAATAAACTTACCTCAGTGTTGTAAACTTTATTTCTAACAAAGCAGGTCAAAACAAACTTATAAATATTCACACGATGTTTAATGCAATGACTAGATATTTTCACTTTATATGAATTATGAAACTATATGGTTTACCGTGGGCTTAGTATTGCGACGAAATGCGAAAATTGTCCGTCAGCAAAACACGTACTTCGACTGCAAAATCCTCAGTCCGACTGAACCGAGTAGAGAGGTTGTCTTCTGAAATATTATGAAGCTTTTGACAACGAAATAATAGGTGCTTAGTTACATTATTTTTAGATACCGATTCTGCTATGACAACAAACTGAAATGGGGCTTATAAGAATTCGAAAGCAATAATTTCGATAATGGAAAATTTAAGTCTGTTATTATTACTCAATCCTTTGATAACTTAATTCGATTACGTGCTTTAAGTATATAAAAGGCAGGCAACTTAATAACTCCCTGATCTATTAATAAATTTTTGGGAAATCAAGGATTCCTCTTATATAAGTTAGGAATATTGAAAATTCAAAATTTATTTTCAATTCTGTGTTTTGAATATTTGTGTGAATTTTCTATTTTATATTCAGTATTATTTAACAAAATATTTTTAAGAACATTTTAAGCATCTTCATCAATTCAAGTGGTAATAGCAATGAGCTGTAAATTTATATTGTACTAGCTGTACCCGTGACTTCGCTCGCGTGGAAATTAAATTTATTTTTCTAAAATAAAAGTAGCCGAGTACCTTAGGCTATTTTTATTTTACCTTATTACAACAGATACCTGCCAATAAAAGTACCGTCAAAATCGGTCCAGCTATTTCAGAGATTAGTCGGAACAAACAGGTAGATAGACAAAAATTATAAAAAATGTTATTTAAGTGTATGTGTCGTATTTATATTCATATGCATGTAGTAAAAAACGGTTACTTCAATATTACAAACAGACACTCCAATTTTATTTATATGTATAGATAAATTTAATAAAGGTTCTGTTTTCGATTTTCTAATAATGTTATATATCTACCTATGTCTATAGAGATCTTTGTTAATTGTGATCAGATATCATTATTATTTTTATGTTTGGTTCAGAGATGATCTCATGTCATCATGTCAGCTGACAATGATCCTCATTACTTAATCAAATGATAAAGTATTGGATAGTGCCAACTACCAGGAAGATGCCCAAATATCGTATCGGTATCTTGTGATTGAGCTTTCTAGTTACTAGTAAGTTATTCAGATACTTATAACTGGATGTTATTACGTGTCGATGTTACAATTGAAGTAAAATTTTACGCATATTGTAGTAATACATATATTTTGAAAAAATAAGCAATAATGAGTTATGTTTCTATTGTTTTATTTTCTTGATGATTTGTAATTGCATTCACATATTTAAGATCTCGAAATTTAATATATACATATATATTAAATTTCGATATACATATGTATTTTTAGGTAAACGAGACAACAGAATATCAGTACTGCAGATTTATCTGTAGCTATATGCTGAGTTAGTTTGCTATTCACCTTTACGGCACATAAAGCTACCTCCATTTCTTTTATTTGACATGTATTTTTCTCATGTATGGTCCTCATGTATTCTATGTATTTTTAATTGGTGAATACATAATTTATCTATCTATCTGTCTGTTAGTACATGAAACCTCTTTTTTTATAAAATGCATAATTCTTATATAAAATTAAACTTTTTTTTTGATAGATCACATATTTATATTAAAATGAATATAAATATATGAAAACAAAACTATAATATTACTGTTTTTATATAAAATTAAATTTTGATAGATCACATATTTATATTATATGAATATAATATATGAACAAAACGGGTTTTAATTATCTATTGTTGTCATAATATATATGTAAATATCTCTTTTATTTAGTTTTATTGGTGTATAAATGTGCCTTGTATATATATATATGTGTGTATTGCCTTGTCTTTATATATATATTCCACTGCTCTCTATAGTATATCTAAATATACTTTTGTTTTATTATATATTTATATTTATGTACGTATATATATATTTGTATTATATAGTATTTATATATTTAAAAACCTATTTAAAAAACCTATGTTAGGTAAAATTATAGGTTAGTCCTTTCCCACTACTGCCCATAAACTGCTTTCTGTTCTTACCTAATGGTCAGCTGGTAGAGAATGCCATATGGCATTAAGTCCGCCAAATTGTACAATTTTTAAAAGTGCAATAAAGAATAAATAAATAAATATATTTTTACATAATTTTATAGATATGCATATTTTGTAAGCTACTTGATTGATATACATAGGTAGGTAATATCTGCCTCTCTGATAGAATAGGTACATGATGGATCAAACGACTTTGAAGAAAGTCTCTCTCTTGCTATAAATCTTTCTCAAAGAGATATACCTACAGTTATTAATAAACGTCTCTGTCTTGACTACTTCCTAATCCTATAGCCCTCTATAGACATTGAGGGTGACGCAGCTAGAGTCGAGTCACAACGCGAGTTACAAGGCGTTTGTGGCCCGGGTCTCTACCAACATACCCACCTTCTTGAAGGAGGACTACTGGCCGAAAGGTGTGGTGCATCGGCGCTACCGTGGCAGATTGCCGTGACCATAATGCGTATCAATATACTAGTTATATAATATTAATTTATATATAGTCTATAAGGTATTTATAATATGGACCTAGTAGCTTAAAATAGAACATACAACTATTAAAAGGCAATGTGTTAAACCTCTAAACCACCGGGGTCATCAAACAGAGCTATATTATCCCCAAATCAATTAAGCCCCCTTCAAATGACCCGGTAATTAAGTGGCCATGACATATAACATATAGCAGTGGCTTTGTGAGTTGTACCCGTTTTGTTGCCGATCATTAAAACCGATGTAAATTTTATTATCAAATTAGTTTGATGCACCGTCATTAAGGCGTAGTTAGTATAACTGTTTGAGATGACAAATTAATTAAAACTAGTGGTCGCCCATTTGTCTAAATTAGACCATAATCAATTAAGATTATAATTTTGAATATTATTAAGGTTCTATATCTAAGTCATCTATGCGTATGCGTATGCAACTTAGGCTGTATATTTTTGTTTCTTTAATGTATTTTCATGCATAATTAAAAAAAATATTGGAATTCTTTAAGTAAAAAACTAAGTAACTAGTAATTTTGTATATACATATATATTTTAATTCTATTATTTGTGGCAGTATATGATGTTTCATTGTCAGATTATTAAATATGTATTTATGTATGATTTATGTCCGCGTATATATATATGTAGTTATTTATTCATACATATTTTTATGGGTATCGTTTAATATATTTATATTTGCGCCGACAACAATTATTTTCTGCACCACCCCATGGTTGACTGGTAGATTATGCCGCATGGTGTTAAGTCCGCCATAGGTACTTTAAAATTATGTGCATTAAAGTTTTAATAAATAAATAAACTAGAAATGTGCGAAATTTTATCGTCCGTCGTCCGTGAAATTTTCGTATGATATTTCGTATAGTTTTTGCTTCATGTATAGATAAACATTTATATATGTTTTGAGTTTGCGTTTGTTTTGGATGTTTTTTTATGTAATTGAAATGGCAAGTTACAAGCCTACTGATGGAAAGAGGTAGATACCTCTTTCTATTTACCTGTCATAGAATGTACAAGAACATATTAGAGTCTGAGGTTGACTTTCATACGTTAAAATTCTTGATGAACACGGTGTAACGGAATGTTTACGTAAAAATTAAATATAAAAAAAGTCTCTAATGTTTTTCTATAATTGATTATTTCACACCCCTAGGCAGAGGTAGGCACTATGTTGTATAAAATCCGTCTCTGGTAAATATGTTAACATACGAATGAAACACCGTGGCCAATGCGAGAGTTGCTTTTGTTTTGGAACACAAAAACGCGTACTATTTTTTTACAAGTTTTTTGTACGAGCGTTGTTAATATGTGCTTTTAGTTCAAATTGTTTTTTTTTTGTACAATTTAACGTTAGTTCTGTTGAGTAACATTATATAAGCTTATTTGTCAGTTTTTTATATATTTAACCCAAAACATTAGAAACTTTCACAGTATATTTCTTTCAACTACATAAACTGTCTACTTAGTTCAGTATTGAGAAGGGTTGTTTTCATAATTTATTTCCTAAGGGAGAAAATTATAATGTGAAAGTGTGTGAAAGAAAGACAGAGAATTTTGAAGTTAGAAATATATAATTGGTACTTGTAGTTCTGGGTATAAACAAAGTATATTATTATTTCGTTGTTAAGGAAAATCATGTATTAGTCAATGTTTTGATGCTCCGAGGGTTTCTTTGCTTTCTTCAGTACATATTAGAATGTGTTGGCATAATTTTACTGTTTGAACACTGGTTTTAATTATATTTTTACTTATTATCAATTATAAAATTATCATTGTCGCACGCCTAATACTTGTTAATGTGTATTTACTACTTAGAACAACATTTATTTAAAAGTTTTACGCACTTCAAAAAAATATGATTATTTAATAGTTATATTAAGTATATTTTAATAAAGATTATTCACTTGAGGAACGTGTGAGGCCGTTTCGTGCCCTAAGATATCTGTTTTACTATCGACTGTCATAGGAACCCTACCCGATAGTGTAGTACCCGAAAGTTAAAAAACCTTATTTATAACTGTCTTTTGTGTACCCTGCATGGGTATGCAGGGTACATAAAAGACAAATGAGGAACTTACATTATTAAACATGTATACGTAATGAGAAGGTAAAGAAAGATATGAAGAAGCCGATTGATTGATGTACAGACCATTTGCATATTTATATATATATACTATACAAATACTAGCTGTTCCGGCAAACGTTGTTTTGCCTTAAAATAAAAAAAAAATAGATGTTGGTCGATTCTCAGACCTACTCAATACGCTCACAAAATTTCATGAGTATCGGTCAAGCCGTTTCAGAGGAGTATGGGAACGAAAACTGTGACACGAGAATTTTATATATATATATAATACGTGTACCATGTGGGTCCACAAACATTCAGTGCGGAAAACTGACCACAGCTATCGGAAGCGTT